GGGAGGGGGAGGAGGGGACGGGTATTTGCATACACAAAGAGTGCAATGCGCACCATCCAAGGGATGGGCACACTTGAAACTCGGACTTGGTGGGGAGTGGGGGGCAAAGGCAAACAAAAAAAACCAAAAAACCGGAACCCCAAAAAAAGCCGAAAAAAAAAAAAAAAAAAAAAAACAGGTAAGTCCTGTTTAAAAAGGTGTCTTTCATGTTGAAATCACCCAGCTAAGCATATGCACAAAACTTGTTTGGATATTTATCCTATGGCTTCAAAGACATTTGAAGAGGTAATTAACCAAATCTTAGCAAATGAAAACATAGACTATAGATACAATCAAAATGTGTCCTTTTTTTTTCCTGTTATAGGTATATTTTTGAGAAAATAGTGAAAGATTGATAAATACTTAAAGGAGGTGGGAATTGGTGTGGTGTGGAAGAGAGATTATGTTCTTGGCACAAAACTAGATAGACTCCATCTTTAACTGTTCGTTTTTTTCAACATTCACCCAAGAAATTCTCAAAGTGTGGGCTGAAGACTCCCGGGGGTCCCCAAGATCATTTCAGGGGCTCTCCAAGCTCAAAACTATTTTCATAATAATACTGATGCTTTTTTTGTTTTGCCTTTTTCTTTGTCATTCTCTCATGAGTGAACAGTGGAGTTGTCCAGAAGTTATAGGACAAATGATATTGCGTTAGATTGAATGGAAAAGCAGGAATGAGAATCAAGCTGTCTTTTATTAAGTCAGACTTGGAAGAGATTTGTAACACTAATTTTTTCTCTTCTCACTAATTTTTTTTTTTTTGGAAAATATAGTTACTTTCCATAAAAAATGTTACTTATTTTAACATGTAATAGGTTTATTATTGTTATTTTAACTGAATTGATAAATAATTTTAAAATTGTCTCAGTTTTAATTCTAATATGGTAAATGTCAATATAAACAATGTACATAAATAAGAGCTATTTGGGGTCCTTAATCATTTTTAAGTGTAAAACGGATCTGAGATCAAATAGTTTTAGAACCTCTAATTTATACTTTACCATGGTGATCTCATTCAAACCCATATGCTATAGGTTGAATTGTGTAATTAAGGAGGCCATTCTATAATATTTATTTTAGAAAAAAATAATAATTAAGAGGAGGTCATACTAGAGTAGGGTGGACTCCTAATCCAATATGACTGGTATCCTTATAAAAAACCAATTACCACATGAAAAAGCAGACATGCACACAGGTTGAATGCCATTTTCAGACGGAAGTAATGCTGCCACAAACCAAGGAACTACCAGAAGCTAGGAGAGAGGCCTGGTACAGATCTTGCCCTGGAGTCTTCAAAAGGAGGGTGGCTCTGCTGACACCTTGATTTTGGACTTCTAGACTCCAGAACTGTGATACAATATATTTCTATTGTTCTAAGACACCCCGTGTGGAGCATTTTGTTTTGGTAGCCCTAGCAAACTAGTACATCATAACTTTTAATATTTAAATAAAAACCAATGATCCCCAAGTCTGTATGTCTAGTTTAGACCTCTTTCCTGAGTTTCATACTCACATATGCAATGACTTCTTAGACATTTCCCATCTTTACATGGCATCTGAAAAACTAATCATGATCAAAAGGATACTAATCATTGTAACCCTCCTGAGGACCAAACCTGCTCTATTCCTGAATTTTCTTTCTCCCTGCAGGGCACCACCTTTCTTAATGCCTCTCTCCCTAGATTCACACATCCAATCAAATACCAGAGTCTGTCAGTTCTAACTTTTAACACCCTCTTGTGATGGTTAATCTATGTGTCAACTTGGCTGGGCCACATTGTCCAGATATTTGGTCAAACATTATTCTGGGTGTCTCTGTGACAGTGGTTTTGGATGAGCTTAACATTTAAATCAATGGACTCTGAGTGAAACAGTTTGCACTCCATAATGTGAGTGGGCCTCATCCAATCAGTTGAAGGCCTGAATAGAATAAAAAGACTGATTTCCCCTGAGCACAAGGGAATTCTGCAGCAGATGGTTTTCAGACTTGAACTGCAACATTGGCTTTCCCCTGGGTCTCCAGCCTGCCATCCTACTCTGCAGATTTTAAACTTGCCAGTCTCTATAATCACTTGAGCCAATTCCTTAAAATAAATCTCTCTCTCTCTCTCTCTCTCTCTAGATATATATACACACACACACACACACACACATACATCCTATTGGTTCTGTTTCTTAAGAGAATTCTGACTAACACGTATCTTACTGCTCACTTTTCTAATCTCACTGTCGCTGCATTAGTTCAGGCCGCCATCATCTGTTGTCTTGAGCCTTTCCCCTTCTAATCCATTCTTTCTGCTTCTGTGAAAATGATCTTTCTAAGAGATATGAGTATGTACATCACTTTCCAGTTTATAAACATTCATAGGCTTCCCATAGCTTTCAGGGTAAGACCCTCAGGAGAGCACAAAAGAAAACTCACAATCTGTCCCCTACTACCTCTTCCAGCCTCTTCTTTCACTACTCCTCCATGCACATAAGAGAGCTAATTTTCAGCATTTTTCTCTTGACTTCACCTTCTAAATAACTTCCTACAAATACATGTTGCCATGCTGTGCTCTAGTACCTACCTCCTAACTGAGTGACCTTCAGTAAAGACCACTTCTTTTGATCCTAATTATGACATTTGTTTACTAAATTATGTTGATACCACTCTATTTTCACTCAACTGTTTATATAATATTACTTTTTTTCTTCTCTTAAAATTCTATTTGTTTCCCGGGTAAAATGGGATAATAATAGTATCTACCTCACAGAGATATTGTGAGGATTGACTTAAAACAGGCAAAAATCTTAGAACAGTGCTTGACATACGGTTAATATTACAAAGTGCTTGCAATTTTTATTATTATCTCCAGTAATAGATGATCCATATTAATCATATTACCATGTATCTTGTTCAGATTTTGTTTTGTTTTCTTCTTAAATCCTCTAACCCTCAGGTGGCAAAGGCTATGCTTTTTCATTCTTAAATTTTCAGTGTGCAGATACCTAACACCAATCACTTTCTTCTTTTGCCCTCTCTTCTTCAAAAACCAAACCAAACCAACCCAAATCAAACACCCCTCCCTATAATACACAGTGATTTTTGCTAAGCAAGAAAACAACTTACTTTATACAATGTGGATGTACTAGCATTTTGTACTTGGGCTCATAGCTGAGCAAGATGCCTCGCCCTATTTTCTTCAACTTGTAATAATAGTGCTGTCAATATCTATTATGACTTGAAATGTTCGAGCCCCCAAGGAAGACGGTTAATTGCTCCCCTCCCCACCGCCCCCCGCAACAGATCAGGTGTTTATTTCTCAGTCATGTAAAGTACACGGGGAGATTTCCTGGGGTAGGGGTGGAAAGATCTCCACTCTCTTCAATCAATTTTGCCTTTCTTAAATCAGAGCAATCAGGTCCAATTGATGGCTCTCCAGATGACCATGGTGGTCATGTGAACTTCAGTCAAACAAAGCATAAGAAATCAGGGAGGACCACAGACACGGTTTTTTGTTGCCATGCCTGTAATAATGTTAATCACTTCTGTCTATATTTCCCTGCACAAATCTCAGTTGTACATGGTCCTGACCACAGTAATGGAAGGCCGAGAAACACAGGCTCCGTGTGTGTGTCCCAGAAAAAAAGGGAATAGTTTTTGGAGAACAGGAAGACTGTTAATTGTTACTTCACTGTCAACGGATATGTGCCAACAAAATAAAATTAAGGGCTAAGGTTCATCTCCTCACACCAATTTTTCACTTTTCATCTCGCTCTCTTCTTCCCTCACCACTGCCTCATCCAGAACATAATA